AATAATAATAATAATAATCTTTATTAGCATAAAGGGAAGTGTCCCTGTTGCAGGGGGCCATACAATGGGATATTATAAATTTTTAGTAATATTTACATAATATACAGGATATCAGTATCAAACAATTTGATAGTTATAATAATATTATTTACATTAACAGTCAGATGTACAATGTTGGTAATATTTAATATACTGGCTCAGATTTACAACATTTTTGTGATTTCAATGAAAAAGTTATACAGACTGTAGAGATCTTTTTTATTCAGTTCAGACTGTTTAAAATATTTCTATAATCTTGAGATGAGTCGTTTTGGAGTATTCGGGAGATGTTAAAAGATTCACGTATCCCTGAAAGACGTTGACATTTTTGGAGTGTAATCATTCATTATTTGAATTATTTGTTTATATATTATATCAAAATTTAGGTTAATTATTTCTGGAATATTACTGAATCTGGTTTCGATTTCATTAACATAATTCGACATTTTGTAATAAATTCTAGTAATCTTGTTATTTTCATTGTTAAGAACACTGAATTATAAAATTAATCAAATATAATCCAAGTTTCGGTTATACCTATTGTTTCTGAATCATAATTTAATTGAAAGTAATTTGTTGATAGAAATTTATTCTTTAAGCCTTGACTATTCCAATTTAAAACTGTAGTCGGATGTATATTTTTAATAGTTTTTTCTTGGTGAGTTTTATTTTATTGTAAATATCAACTTGATGATTCTGGTGAAGCAGAGAAAGGCTGAAAGGTATCCACGTAGACTAATTTTCCTGTATTAATACTAAAAGTTAATTTATTGCAGTCTATTAGCAAATTGTCGTTACGTAGTTTAACTGATTGGTTTTGGTTTCTTAATTCATAATATATTGGCAATAAGTGTTTTCTTCTTTTAAAACCAATGCATAATTAAAACAGCAAGAAATTTCAAAGAAAAATTATTATGAACAATTTGTAGTAAAAAAACAAAGGTCTTTTAATGGTAACATTAAAAAATTCTTAATACGTGAATGTATCATTTCTGATGTTTGGAACTGTTTGATATTTCTGAATTTAATTCTTGTCACAATATATTTTCTTAAAATTGAATTAATAACTATTAAAGTATTATTAAGTATTATCATTAAAAATTAATTATATGCATTAAGTAATTGAATAATACTAATTAATTATTGTTATCATATTGTATACATATTTCTGCTGTTAATATTAGTATTTAATTTTTAAAAACATTTGTTTTTGATATATCATTAATTCTTCGAATTTTAGAGATTATAGCATGTATTGATTTCATTATTCACAGCTCTTATATAATAAAAATTTTTAAATTTGAATCTCATATAAATAATAGTACATGAAAACGATTAATTCTATAGCTGAGATGTGGTCAAAATTATATTATGATGTATAACACTAAAGTAATAATAGACCCAAAAAGAATTTGCAGTAACTGTAGTTTACAAACATGTGAAACGTGTTATTTCACTGTACCAAATTTGAAACATATAGGAAAAAGTATTTGACAGGATTTAAATCCTGGAGAGATTTAATCATTTTTTGAAAAATACAATAAATGAATTATCTTAGTGTATTTTATTTTGTGTTATCCTGTAATAAGCTATTTAATTAATTGATTAAATTTTACTAATTTCAAATTTACATAATATGTATAAAAATTATTATTATTGTGTTTTATTGTGTATTAATAAGCTATTATATTGATTTGTCAAAGTGTACTAACTTCAGTTTTTATGTAATACTTTAACCCTCTTGTAATGAACTAAGGTTCATACAATAAGAATTGAATTGAATAGAATAGTAGTACATGTCATATAATAATTTAATATTTTCTACTATAAAAGAAAATTATTATTATTATTATTGTCTTTAGTTTTAATTATATATAGAAATTTATCACTTATTTGTTTTGGATATGCAATGACAAAATGCATTCAGTTTTACATATGATGTTATATTTGAGACAAAAAATATTTTTGACATTTTACTATCTGGATCCTTGATTTTTTCTTTGAGTAGCTGTGATTTCAATTTGAAATTTTTTGTTTAATATCTTATTTACAGAGAAATTCTTAAATAATGACATGCAGATGAAAATACATAAATTATCCAGTATTTATGATTCAGTTACAAAATAAAATAGACTTAATAATTACCTTAATATTCCTAAGCTTCTTGCACCAATATCTTGACAACCATATTTAATACCAGTAATAAGATAAGGCACAAATGTATGAATGGAACCTTTATCAGGAATGGTTCCAGATACTCCTTGAGCAACACGGACTTTGTCTTGCTCACTAGAGTTAAAATCAATTTTAATGATTAATGATAGCTATCTTCATTAAAGTTTTTAAAACCAACAATTATTAAAAATTTTTATAACTTACCTCTGAAAATATCTGTCTCGACTACCGTGACCTTCTCTCGATTCCATTGCATCTAAAGAGCCCATACCACGGAATTTTTTTAATCTTACTCCATCAGAATAAAAATATTCTCCAGGAGCTTCAGTTGTTCCAGCTAACATTGAACCCATCATTACTGTAAAAGGAAATAGAATAGTATTTATTTTATCAATATTTAAATTATTAATTTTTGAAAAATTTGTAAACCATATCAAGTTATACCTGCTGAAGCACCCAGAGCTAAGGCTTTAATAATATGACCAACAGATTTAATTCCACCATCAGCTATAACAGGTACACCAAATCTTCTAGCATATTCTGCTACTTTATAGACAGCTGTTGCCTGTGGCCTACCACAAGCCATAACTAAAACATAATAATTATATTAATATATACAAGTTTACAGTTTATTATTTCAGTTAAGGATATAAGAATTTCCTAAACTGGCTTCCTTCTATTCAGTTATAATCAGTAACATATATAATAGCTTCTTTTGCAAAATTTGTCAATCTATAGTAATCTGCACATTTTATCTCAAAAACAGTCTTATAAAAATTAAAAAGATAATATTTGAACTATCAACTTAATCTTTGTAGCAATTGGAAATAAATATGTAATTATAAAAATATGTTTAATATTAAGTAATATTATGCTACATATAATAATTACACAATTCAATGAAATTAAAAATTTATTAAAAACATGTATGTATTTTTAACTTTTAATTTCTATAAAATATATTTTCAAACAGTAACTTTCTTCATTATAACCACAATAAAGAAGTTTACCTGACAATGCAAATATAACATCAGTAAGCTGCAAGTGATATCAAGTCTCTCATGAATTGATCTTCGTGCTAATCAATATTAAAATAAATAAAATGTTCTAATCTAGTTTAAATTAGTACAAATCGGAAAAAGCTCAAATTGAAGTTTCTGGATGGCATATGAAATCTACTGGCATGTTTAAGAGTTGTAAGTCAATCTTATTTTGCACTATTGTCTCTCATAAGTTTCAAATTTAAGAATTTAAAAATATAATTATCAATTGAAGCCAACACATCTACTTGCAGTGACAAGCTATTCTAATAGTAACAGGACATAAAATTAGTTAAATTTGATATAATTATGTAATTCATTATTTTAAGTAGAAAGAAACTTGAGGAATGAAACATATGATTAATTCTGATTCAATGTTGTTTTAACTTATAAATAAAAGAAGATAAATATAAATGAATACTATGTGTGTATACAATACTTTAAAAAAATTAAATTAATATATAAAATAATAGAAGGAATAAGTCAGATATNATTTCATTTAACTTGTTAAAACATTGAGCCCACTATATTCTATTTTAGCAAAATGAAATAAAATAATAAAATCATTCATTGGAAGTTGTTACAATAGATTAACTGTAAAGCAATGTTTGTTATATTGACAAGGAATGTTGCCTAAGTATTTTCTTCCAATTTTAATGATTCTTGTATGTTACTGAACATAAAAACAGACTTTTTTAAACTGACAGTAAAAAGTCTTAAATGAGTTGTTTAAAAATTACTTTTTATATCCAATATTAAATAGGTTTTCTTCCAGAAATTCTAAATTAAAATTAATTTATTATTATTATTATCATCATGAGATCTGAAAATAATTTATGAATTATTTTCAAAAATAATATATAAAATTTGAATCCTAATTCAAAATTATAAATTTAAACAATTGAATTTAAATAGTGTAATCAATGGCATTTCCTTCAAAAATTTAAACGTTTATTTGTAATTTGTATAAAAATATTAAGTTTTTGAATTATGTAATCATCATGTCTTAATGATTTAATGAGTAAAAAAAGTATTAATTCTTTTCACCTCTATGTCCTTACTGTTTCACTTTTTTGTATCTATATTGTCTACTTAGACCTTGTTTATTAATAGTACTTATTATACTGGTGTAGTTTCTGATTAGCAAAGAGAAAATCTTAGTCAAATGTCAAAACAAAATATCTTTTCACCTAATGAAAATAAAGATATTTTGTTAAAAAGATCCAAGTAGACAACGTAGAAACAAAAAAGTAATATGAAGTATTGCTTTAAATCAGTATATATGAGCCAAGTTTTGATAGTGTATTCCATAATCCTTCAAAACTAAAAATTAATTAATCAAAATGTACTAAAACAATTCATGGAGATATTATTATTCTATATTGACTATTCTAATACAAAATATCCCATATCTATTTAAGATCATTTATGAAAACTTACCATTGCCTCCTATGACTTGCAAATCAGGATATTTCTTCTTGATATATCTAATCATTTCAATTTCAAAAATTGAATTCCCTTGTGAAGAATCCTACAATAAAATTTATTATGAGTATTAAATAAAGGTTTTTAACAAAGTTTCAGAATTTAAAAATTCTTACTTTAATATATTTATGAATTTTAAGCCTTATAATTTATCATCATAACACTGCAAAACTTTACAAGACATTATATTTTCTGTAATTAAACTATTTAATTCTCATAGTTACCACTGTTAACATGATGGCTGTTTTTCTGAAATTATTTTTGTTGCATTTTCACCTATATTTTACTGACCTTCAGGTGGAATACAAATTTGAACATAAGTTAAGAACAAACGTAATGGTATTTCAAACATAACATTTGGAATACCTTTCAAATGTAAAAAAGTGGACATTTAAACAACACCTCCAGTACAACTGAAAAATACAGTAAAATATGGCCAAAAAACACTAGTAAATAAAAAGGTTTTGCTTCATTTTATAGTCCTTTTTTTGTGTATTAAAACACAAAAAAGGGACTATAAAATGAAGAAAAACCTTTTATTGCAAAATCTGTTATTGCAATTTCCAATTATTATAGTTAGCTTATTGTTTTTCCCTCCTATATTTGGGAATGGACGATATGAAAAATATTTGATTAATTTTTTTTATAAACTAAGAAAATTTCTAAGATTATAAGGAAAATCCAAATTTTTATTTAAAATAATAAATGAGTCATTTCTAGTTAATAAATATCCCCTGAAATGCATTTCAAATTGTGTAATTAACTTAATGTCTTATTAAAATGTATTTAAATTCCTAGCTAACTTAACCAAAAAACACATGTTAAACAACTTTAAAATTATTTATTGCTATATTATGATTTTAACAAAATTCCTTTAAGTATAATAAAATAATCCTAAAAATTTTTTAAATGTAAAAACAAACAAATAACCTGTATAAAGAATTACTTACTAAAATGATAACATCCACACCAGCTTGGACTAAAAGGTCTAATCTAGTTTTATCTGAATCTCTTGTTCCAATAGCAGCACCCACCAACAATTGTTTATTTTCATCTTTTGAAGCATGTGGATAATTACGACTCTTTTTCAAATCAGTTCTTGCAATCAATGAAATTAATTCCATTTTCTCATTAACAATAGGCAATTTTCCTATATAAAAAACACAATATTCAACAAATAATTTTATATAATCAAATATCTAGTTTGTTTATTTTATTCATTTCATTTAACTTGTTAAAACATTGAGCCCACTATATTCTATTTTAGCAAAATGAAATAAAATAATAAAATCATTCATTGGAAGTTGTTACAATAGATTAACTGTAAAGCAATGTTTGTTATATTGACAAGGAATGTTGCCTAAGTATTTTCTTCCAATTTTGATGATTCTTGTATGTTACTGAACATAAAAACAGACTTTTTTAAACTGACAGTAAAAAGTCTTAAATGAGTTGTTTAAAAATTACTTTTTATATCCAATATTAAATAGGTTTTCTTCCAGAAATTCTAAATTAAAATTAATTTATTATTATTATTATCATCATGAGATAGTATCTTGACTACCTATCTCAAGACAAATTACTTTATCTTTAATCATTAACTTAGCCTAAACATAGCCCAATGATTTGGCAGATTGCCTGGCTTTAGAAAGTAATTTATCCACTTTAAATAAATCCAATATTAGAGTATTTTCTTACAGTGAATAATCAAAAATAATATGTTTTTACTAGCATTTAAATTATTATATGAATCAGTTATTCCCATAAATATTTCAAAATTCAGTAAAAATGTATTTTAATTAATCACTACAATTAATTCTTTCATGTTGGATTCATTCAAATTTAATATACATTAAATTAAAATATAAATTTTATATACAATTGTAAATTCATTGTTTGATGTATCAAGCTTTCATAGTTGATAACATTTCATATATACAAGCCCAACAAAAAAACTTTGGACAGCATGTCATTTTAATCAATCTCTAGCTTATTTTTCATTAATATCAAACAAACATTTTATACACCTATAATAAAAATTTATTAATATAAAATAATTATAACTGAAGATTTTACATAAAAAATTATTTATGTTGATAATACATTAAAAATAGTTATGAGCAGTTGTAAAAAGGATATGCAACAAAAAATTTGGACAGCCATTTCTGACAAATAATACTTTGGACAATACATTAAATGACCTGTTCCTAAATGTGTAATTGAGCTGACATGTGATATTTGCATATTTTTTTTTGTATTAATATTATTGAGGTGTATTTGTTTAATTAAAATGGCACCTGGTACGGCTGTAAGTGTTGACGTACAGTACATGAAGTAATTATCATCCTCCATAGACAGGGAATCCTTACAAAAAATTGGAAATGAATTAAAAATTGGTAATTTCACAGTATGGGGTATTGTTTCAAAGTATCAGGAAAGTGGTAAAATTCATCCAGAAAAATCAAATTGAAGGCAGTAACTATAACAAACATTTCATGAGGCTGCTTGTGATCAAATTAAAAAAATATTGAAGTGCATCACTCAGTGAATTAGTGAACAAATGGAATAAATTTATTGGAATAGAAGTTACAAAAGAAACTTGTATCCATCTGCAGAAACTTTGCTACATTTTCTATCAGGCAAGAAAATATTATTTTTACTTAACAATTGTGACATGTGATTTGTTTTCTTAGACAAAGGCAAAGCCACTTCTCACAAAAACACAAATAAAAATCTGATTGAAGTGGGCAAAAGAGCATCAATGTTTAACACAGCAACAGTGAAAGCAGGTTGTTTTTAGTGATGAGGCAAAGTTTGAAGTCTGTATCATAGGCAATAGAAAAAAGTCATTAGAAAGTGAGAAGGGGCATTCCATCATCACTGTCTATAGTGGATTGTAAAATTTCCAGCAAGTATTATGGTATGGGATTGCAAGTCAGCCCAAGATGTGGAAAATTTGTATTTCCACACCTTGGGCTGACTTGCAACCCTATACCTTGGTTTTAGTAAAGAAGTTTGTTTAAAGTTGTATTTTATCAAGAGATCAATAAATGAAGCAAAATACCAACAAATCCTCAAGGAAAACCTATTATCATCATTAGAAAAATTACAATATCATGGACATTTTATTTTCCAGCAGGATGGTGCAAGTTGCCATAATACCAAAACCACCAAGGCTTGGCTGGCCCAACATAATATTAACATGTTAAAATGGCCATCGAGCAGTCCCAACCTTTTCCCTGGAGAAAATATGTGGAGTAAAATTAAAAAGGCATTAAGAAAGTCCTCAAAAAAGTGTGGATAGTTTAAAGCAAAAAAAATATATAAAAAATAATCAAGCAAATTTTGGATGAAATTACTCAAAATGAATACCTGGCTCTGATACTCCTTGTTGATACGATGAACGATCTATGAATAGTATTCATATAAATACTATTATACAAGCCAAAGGTGAAATAATTAAATATTAATGTACTGTGAGGTATTATTTGTCAGAAATGGCTCTGTCAGAGCTCTTTTTGTTGCATATCCTTTTTTCAACTGCTCATAACTTTTTAATGTATTATCAACATAAACAATTTTTTATATAAAATCTTCAGTTATAATAAAAGTTTACTAATATAAAATCATTATATGTGTACAAAATGTTTCTGTTTGATATTAATGAAGGATAAGCTAGAGATTGATTAAAATGACATGCTGTCCAAGTTTTTTTTTTGTTGGGGTTATATACATATAGAACATTTTAAAAAGGTATTATACATAAACCTTTTATGTATAATACCTAACCTAAAATTATAAACTATATTTTTTAAGATTTAAAAACAAAATTATAAATAATTTGTATTATGTAAGTGTGTATTAAAATATAAAGATTATGTTTTAAAATATAAATATATGTGTTACCGCTAAAGCTCGGAAACTTGTTAATCTGCAGATTACCTAGCTAATCTGCAGATTAACTAGCGTGATCCGTTAAAGTTGCTAAAATTGTTCTATTTCTCAAATTACCTAGGTAATGTGCAGATTATCTAGGTAATCTGCAAATTACCTACTAGGCACTCGGTAAAGTGAAAATAAGATCTTTGCTGAAACAACAGCAACGTTTCTGTACGCTTAAATTAACATAATGTTCTTTATTTAATTTTCGATATCTAAAGAATCAAGTTAATACAATCAAACAATCGACAAATTAGTTGATAGAATCAATCATCAACCAATTAAAAAACATACAAAAAATCAAACGATTTAAAATATTAATACAATTAGGGAAATTATTATATAGATAACCACCTATGGAATTTCGGGACTTTGAGTATCTATCTGAACTGAGGGGACCGAGACGACTTCAACGATACCCTACTTTTGGACCGGAGACGAAAAATAATAAAGTTATCATACTTTTTCTGGTGATCGCATGATGTAATTGTGCAGTTAATGTTACCTATGGTAAGTAAAATGGCGGCTCATCTCTGATTCCAGCAAACAGAAGAAAGGAAACAGTGGGGACGCACGTTCTGTCCTAACCTAACCTATTTTAATAAATTACCATAATTATTACCAACCAAATTATTAGAATAGGTTAGGTTAGGTTTGAACATGCGTCCCCACTGTTTTCTTTCTTCTCTTTGCTGGAATCAGAGACGAGCCGCCATTTTACCCACCATAGGTAACATTATACAATTGTGCAGTCTAAAGATTGGTGACACTTTAAATTTCATAGCAATTGGTTTCTGCGACAAGCACACCTATTTGTGGTACATTTATTTGTGGTAAAGATCTTATTTTCATTTTACCGAGTACCTAGTAGGTAATGTGCGGATTACCTAGATATTCTGCACATTATCTAGGTAATTTGAGAAATGGAACAATTTTCACAACTTTAACAGATCTAGGTAATCTGCAGATCAACAAGTTTCGAGCTTTAGCGGTAACATATGCACTAATAAATATTAAATTACAAAAATTATAGTTAAAAAATAAACCTTTTTTGCTATGCTGAAGGATTTCATTTGCTTGTTTTAACGTTACAGTTGACTGTGCTACAACCAAATCTTTTGTCATAACCTGTATATGAAAAATATCATTATTTATAAAATATTTTACATAAATAAATAATTTTATGTATGTCAAAAAGTTTTAAATTTATAATCATACTTAGACTTATAAATATTATCAATATTAAAATTTTAATAAAAAGACTCAACAATATTTTAATGTGTTTTATATAAGCTTCAAAATTTCTTCACTTTTTGAAAGAAATTTTTGAAATTTTAATTTAATAAGAACTTTTTGAAGTAACTAGATGTCATGAAAATCTTTATAACTTGGAACCATATTTAATGAAAAAAAAAAAAGAACAGATAAATTAAGGCATCTAATAAACTTTTAATATGCAAATATGTTTTTGGATATTTCACAGTCCATTTTCAAATTTTCATAAACTAGATTTCATTTCAAAAACAAATTTAAATATATAACAACTTAGAAAAATAAAAATCATTTCAAAAATCATTATACTGAAATATTAAAATTTTTAAACTTTCAATCCATTACCCAATTTTTCAATTAGAGCTAAATGAAATACCAGATTATTGGGCTATATTAAGGCAAACTTTAATTATTAATTATAAAGCAATTTGACTAGGTGGTTAAGCCAACATCATTTGATAAATTTAATACTTACAATTTAAAAGTTATAGTCAAGTTACTTTATAATTAATTATTAAAATTAGCTTGAATATAATATGATAATCTGGCATTTCATTTGGCTTTTATTGTTAAAAATTTTAAACTTATATTTATTTCAATTATAAATTTGTTTACATTTGATGATTTGTATGATATTTTGTTTCAATTTTAATTAAACAAAGTAAAATTCAAAACACTTGTATTTTAAATATAAACATTTTTACATAATTATAAAATAAAACTTTTTAAAAGACTTTTTATAATTTTTAAATTGTAACATTAATAAACAACTTGCTGTGTTTACTTTTGTTAATCAAATAAAAATCTCAAATTCAACAAAATAATGTTAACACAACGTGAGAAAAACATGCCAAAAAAAATTTACACCAAAAAGTTCAGAAACAGTAGAAACAAAACTGACCTCTCATATTATCCGACAATTTCAATAGCAAAACAATACTGATCAAATCAACATACAAAACCAAAATAAAGGAAACATAAATTTACTGTTTTGTAATTTTCATCAGGTGACATATCTCAATATCCTTAATTAAATACCAAAGAAATAGTGCATAAATGGCATAACAAACAAGTTTTTAAATCACATTAGGAGTTTGTGAACAGGGAGAGAGATATTTAGAAAAGCTAGAAAACAAGTGTACTAAAAAATAATTTTTACACTCTTTTCATTTTGTTAATTTAATAAAATAAATTATCTTTACTTTCATATAAACAAATATGAGAGAATAAAATCAAAATATTTTAAATTTATCATCTTTTCATACAGTATCATTTATATAGAAAAATGAAAATGTATTATATTTGGAATTATAAATCTTACAGAACAATCAAATCCCTAAATAAAATATGTCATCTCAGCTTACATTGACATAATGAATAACACCTCTGCACATTACACCCGCCACCCCAAAACAAGCATCTTCATACCCGACAGCTAAACTATCCTTCAAGCTACCTCCCATGCAGTATTAACAAACAAGCCATCATCTGTACAGACTCTAAGTCCATCTTGGAAAGCATGAATTCTCTAAACAAATCTCCTCATTCCATCATTACCAACTTCCTCACTGCTATCTTCTCTAATCAAAACCACTCCCCCAGCATCTTTACAGGACTCCTGGGCATGCAGGTATCTCCCTCAACTAAAAAGCAGACAAGTTTGCTAAAAGCAAAACTATCTACCATCAAAACAAATGTCATCTTCCCAGAAGATTTCCTCTCCATCAGCAAACAGGACATGAAAGAAAAAAATGAACCAGTTCTGGATAGTATACACTAAAAGGGAAGACTATATATGGCTGGAAAAATCTCCAATCCTACTTACGAAAATCTAGACAGACATACCTCCATTCTTATCAACAGAGCTTGCACCAATTCTCTTCTCACCAATCACTTCCTGCACAAACAGAACCTAACCAGTCAAGACAAATGCCCCCACTGCCCCTCCAAAACTGATACCTGCATAGATTGGATGAATGCATCATCTTCCAAAAGATCAGAAATCTCCTTTAGACAACTTTGAACTCCCAACGCATGGCATCAGTAAAATTAGTGACTGCTTCATAAACATTAAATAAAAACAAGTCTATGTATATTAAAAGTCTTCTTCAACAAATACTCAAAACACTATCATTACTAGCGAGTCCACTGCTCCATCTGCTAGACCAGGCAACCTTTTTCTATGTAAGGGCTGCATTTTGAAACTTTTGAAATGACATGGGCCGCATAATAGAGAAGAGAGAAAAAAAAAATGCCAGTAAATCACAATTATTTATTCATATACAGTATAATTGTAAATTAGCATAGGTATACTTAATTTAGCTTCTGGAACTGATGTAAACGTAATATATTGGAAATTATTTGGTTAAATATTAGTCATTGCTAGCTTTAAATTAGTTTCAATGTGTCTGTTACCTGGTTTCTTGTTTTAATTTTTACTAAATTGATTGCAGGAAAAATTATCCACATACATAAGTTGCAGAAAATAATATTTGAATTTTTGCTGCATACTTCCTTAAGCTGGGAAATTGATATATTTATTCATATATTATGTGACAAGGGCTGCAAAAAATATTAATGCGGGCCGCAGGTTGCCCATCCCTGTGCTAGACTTTCGGAGCAATATAGCAGGGTAGCTTCTACCCAAACATAACCCAACCAACCAACCAATAAAATATTAAATTTCAATTAAATTTATATTTTAAAAACTTTCATATTATTTTACAACTTAAAAACTTCCATTATCTGATTTTAGCATAAAATTTGAAAAAAAATAGAAATTTTTCATATAATTTATACCTTGTCCAGAGTCAAATCATACATATCTCCACCCATAAAATCTATATCACGTGATGTAACAATCCCAACTAATTTTCCACCAAGTTGTCCATTTTCTGTTATAGGTATTCCAGCAAATCCATGTTTCTTTTTTACTTCAAACACATCTTTCACTGTATGTTGAGGGGTAAGCACCAATGGGTCACGTATAAATCCATGTTTATATTTCTATAAAAAAAAAAAAAAATTATTATTTCTAATAATTCTACTTCTCTCATTTTTATATAAATCCCTTATTTATTCAAAAAATAAACAAATTGTATTTTCAATATTTTATTTTTACCTTGACTTTTAATACTTCATTAGCTTGAAATTCTGGTGTACAGTTATGATGAATAATACCAATTCCACCACATAACTAAAAGAAAATAGTAATTTATAAAGTTCAGAACTTTATTCAGAACAATTTATAAACCAAACTACATTACAATTATATTTGATATATACTTAATAATTGTTTGAACTGATGTATTTCTAGTTGGAATAATTACATATCATTGTATAGAAAATAAACAAAATATATACTAGAATAATAAGTATCTAATCAATTCATTACAACAAATCAAATATTATGAAAGTGAAGATATAAACAGCTATATCATTAAAATATTCTATTTCATAGTTGATATACACATTAAATTTATATGTATGGAAAATTATTAATCACATTATAAAAAATTTATGCATTAATTAGTATATAATACTATAATATTCCATCGATAAATAAGTTTATAATGATAAATTGTAAGCAATGAATGATGGATAATTTATCAAAAGATATTTATTATCTTTTGATATAGAGCTCTAAAAATTATTGACATAACCCTACATCAACATAGACAAACAATAAAAAATATTTATTGATAATTGACTATCAATCTGTTAATGAAAACAATGTACTCCTATTTTCATGTTTAATTTGGACTTTAAATGAGTGAATAATTTCCACTTGTGAATTTACTACCAACAAGATCTTTACCAGAGGCAGCTCAAGGTGGGCTTGAGCCCAGCATCTTCAACACATACCTCTGTGACACTCTTACTTGCTACAGCATAACTTTACTCTGTTGCAGTGGCTGGGCATGGAATTTTCAGAATGAATTTCTTCCAAACTCAAATCAAAACCTTGGGGGCTGATGTGAACAGCAGTTGAACATGGGTTAATCAATCCTAAGGAATGACTGAATAAACTGATAAGTGAATTTGAATCAATTACCTTTATGGATCATAAGTCATTGATATATAAAATATATAAGCAGCTTCATAAATTTGTATTTTAAACATTATATAGAAAATACCTTAATGTTGCATTTCTAAATTACACATTTCTGATACATATATACAGTAGAATTGCCATTTACAGTATTAGCATCATTTTCAAACCCACCTATACTGATAGTACTAACTGAACGATAATATTACGCAAGATAAGATAACGCTTGGATATACTGGTTTTATTGATTTTTACCTTAAGATATGGCATAACAGTTTTAAAATGTATAATTTATAAATTATAAGTAATAAATCTTCAACTGTTGTTATTAATTAATAATAATTACTTAATAATAATAATAATTGCAGTATTATTTGCCTGTCGTATTTTGCAGTCCCATCATTAACAACAACTAACAAAAATTTAATAAAAAGTTTAAATTACTGAAATTTCTTATAATTGTTTTAAGTTCAAATGATTAACATTTATCATTTAAAGCAGTAGTTAAGATTGATAACTGAAAACAATTACACATTCAATCAACTTCATTACATAACTGATAGGCATTTTTAAGCTGTCATTCTGTGCTATTTGGCTGAAGATAGTAATCAGTTTGGCTATTGTTATGAGTTATATAATTATATTTTAACTTAATTCTGATAACATTAATTAAACAACTAATAGCACTATCTGTGATTACTATAAGCAGAACCTACTTTGTTTAATGAAAGATGAGCCACCTTCTATGATAAAAAAAACCTAATGGATTGTAATAGTCAAGTAATGTATTTTATTCATACAATTACCATTCAGAAAACATTACACAAAGACAAATCAAAATGGTAATGACAAACATCATCTTTAGTTTCAATTTTGTTGACAAAATGGAAATAAATGCTGTTATGTGTTGAATTGTAATTCTAATATTAATTAATCAATCAATCAATATAATTAATTTATTGTTATTTTATTCAAACAATTACAGTATGTCTTAACCAATCATCAGGACTAATTGCTCACCCAAAAACACCTTGAAAAAAGTTTATCATTTGTTAAACAGACCATAACTACCATATGTTGAAATTTACAATTTTCATTAGTTTTGTTTAGTTTTCGTAATTACTATTTGAAATGAATACTATCATTTAATCAATTAAACTAAATAAATTATAAATAAAATGTTAAACTAAACTGATTTCTAACAAAAAATTAAAAACCAATTCTTAATTCTTTTAAAAATTTAAATTACAATATGTATAGTTGTTAAAAAAAAATGAAAGAAAGAAATGAACAATGATGAACCGCTCAATGAAAGAAATTACAGCTGTCCCTTGATAATCCGACAGGTATGGAACCAAAGGGGTGTCGGATTATCAAAAGTGTCCAGATTACCAAAAGTGATTACATATTTGGCATTGTTTTGCTAGCAGTAGCCTACAACATTCCCTACTCCAACTGTTCGAACAGAACTGCTCACAGAAAACACATGAAATGTGTGTCATCACGTAAGAATTGGGAAGGGAGATTTGCGTCACGACATGCTTCTGTGCAAGCAGACACGTAACAGGGACGGGTACCTTGATGGGAGGTGCATCGGACTACTGAGCATGTCGGATTACAAAACTATCAAGGGACAGCTGTACTTCACTAAATTGTTCTACCAATAGTGTCAAAAAGTTCCGAGACATATTTTTATTTCTGGAATTAGTTACATGTAAGGAGATTTAAACATGTCTCTCAAAGTCTGTCTTTGAGCAATAACACTTTCTAGCATTAATACATCTCTCAAAAGCAGCTCTAAAAGCCATTTTTCTCAACTTGGCACAGGGCAACCATAAGGCCTGAATGTTTGCACCATCCTTTGCACAGACATGCTTATGCCTCTCATACATTACAGTTTTTCATTGATGACTTGCCCACCTTACACCTCACTCAACCTGTTCACTGTTTCTGCTGTTTTATTCAGTAAAACAAAAAAAAAATCTGTTGTTAGTGTGCAGTTTTTGAAGCAACATTCTACTACTAGACTATTTGTGATGAGCAACTATGACTCCCTCTGCAGATTATTTTTCAACAGGTGCATGACAATTTAGAGATTGTGCACTAATACCTCTCAAATAATGTTGTTTTGTGCTGCAATTTCAATTTTTGACATTTTTATTTATTCATTTAGTGTACTTCATTGTTCTGAGCATCTCCAGGAACTTTTTGACATTACTAATATAAGTGCTGGTGCAATTCATAGAACTTAAGAGATAATACGTATGGTTGGCTGTGGCCAGGATAAAAATCCTGAAATGCATCTCAAGTCCATGTTGTACAGTAAGATCTAATAAAGAGTCATGAAGTGCCTATATGTCTGTCTGTTTTATACCATGTAAAGCAATGTTTCCTCAATTAACATTGTTTCATTTAACATCATTGAGGAAAGATACAAGTACATTTGCAATAGTTTACAGTTATCATTGTTGAATTTTCTTTGTAAACAGTTCTTTTAATTGATTTTATGAGGTGGGAAATAAAAGCGAAAGATTGCAATATAATCTAATAGGAATAATATAAACGAGATATAATTCAGTTAAGGTAACCAAAAAAGTTCTGTCGTTTTTTGTGAAACTACAAAGTTTAAAGAATGTTAAACGCAATACACAATAGATGGCACTAAAATTCCAGCAATATGTTAATTAAGATTTAATGCTGACTCATCTTATATAAAGAGAAGCAGAAAGGTTATCTCTTAATATTATAAAAATTGACCTGAAGATGAGTACTCCAAACTCTATAATTCGTGCTTGTATGTTGTATGAGTTTAAACTTGGAAAAAATGATGTGCAAATGGCTTAAAACATATGCCAGGCTTTCGGACAAGCACTCACACCACCCAAAGGTGGTTTAGAAAATTTTCTTCCTGTGATGAGTCGCTTAAAGATGCGCCACAAGAAGGGCAGCCATATGTCATTAATAATGATGAATTACAGGCTGCAATCGAAGAAGATTCCGCTCAAACTTGTCAGATATTAGCACAAAAGTTCTCTGTAAGTGATGAAACTGTCCGTTTACATTTGCATAGTCTTGGAAAAGTTTACAAGCTCAGCAAATGGATATCTCATCAATTGACACCTGCCAATATTGTGCATATGGTGGACTGCAAACGGAATTGTTCACTATGAACTTATACCATCTGGACAGACTATTACTGCTAACATCTACAGTGACCAACTCCGTCGAGTTCACCAATCACTTTTGAAAAAACAGCCAGCTTTAGTAAACCGTAAAGACATTCTTTTCCTACACGATAATGCTATAGACATCATGTTGCGTGTGTGACCTCTGACACAATTCAGACCCTTGGATGGGAACCTCTTTTGCACCCTCCTTATTTCCCTGACATTAGCCCTTCTGACTATCACCTATTTTTAAGCTAGATAATCATCTGTGAAATCGACAGTTCAGAAATAGAGAGATTATAGAAACGGAGTTAGGGAAGTTTTTCAACTCTAAAGATCGTGACTTTTATAAAAATGGAATTTATAAGCTTGTTTCTCGTTGGGAAAAGGTTATTGAATGTGAGGGTTGTTATTTTGATGAATAAATTGTGTTATTTCCTATACATTTTTATATTTGTTTTCTTTCGACAAAAAACGACAGAACTTTTTTGGTTACCTGATATCAACTAGGCTATGGTAAAATTGATCATTATACAGTGTACATTATACAGTTTCCATGAATCTATTGACCAACATTAAATGAGGACTAGCTATATGAAAATATGAAAAAACTTTTTATAAATATAAAAATTATCTGTATTATTTTTAATCATGTAGCAGTAAATATTTCAATATCAATATTTAGACTGATAAGTTTTAAAAGGATTTTGAAAAATTATTTGAAGATAAAGCTCTTAAGAAATTTTAAAATGAAATGGATTTTAGAATTGTACTTACTGCCATAGCAACAGCCATTTCAGATTCTGTGACAGTGTCCATCGGAGAAGAAAGAAGAGGTGCTTGTAATGATATTTTCTTTGTCAATGGTGAGGTAATATCCTGTAATAAAAATCATATAATTTTGAGGAAGAAAAATTATTAAATAACATTTTACACTTCTCTTTAAAGTTATACATTAGTCAAGAATGCTTTCGATATTTGAAATAAGTTATACATCATTCATCTGGTGTAATATATACTTCTAAAAAATACAAGTAATATAAAAAAAGTCAGAATAATTTAAGAAGTAATGAGCAATTATTTATGGTGACATTGTCACAATGCCATGCACAATGCAATTTTTAATCATATTTTTAATAATTTTTAAATTTAAAATATATGCTCTCTACCTCAAATTAGTAGCATCTTTCTCCTTTAATTCATACTTTTCCATTAGCAATAGTCGTGCAGGTCATCTAATTCCTTTCGGGGGAAAATTTTTGAATTGAAATAATGTGACTTCTGGTCCAAAGCAAAAGTTTGTATATAGTTAACCTCCTGCCTCTAATCTTTCCATATGCTGGTCTTGGCTTTCATCTATCTAGCTCTGTTTTCGAGATTAAGGAAAGACAGACAGATAACAGTGGGAATTCATAGGTCAATAATTTTTTTTCAAATTGCAGCCCAATTATGATTTGCTATTTATTTCATGACCAATGTTCTTCTTGCTAAATAGCAAGAGTATTACAAACATCAATGCAAAATAGTCAATTAGAGAAAATTCTGACACAGAGAATATAAAATGACTTAAAATAAGTATAACAAAAATGCTCAAGGTCTTGGTGGTGCAATGGCATGCACATAGCATGGCAAGCAGAGGTTGCAAGTTCAAGTCCAATCCCAAGCCAGTTATTTAATAAATAACTAAATTAATAATTATCATTTTTTAATATGTCTACCTTTAGTAGCAAATTACTTAGTATTAATCATTAAAATAGTAGATTTATAGCATGATTATTTATGATGATCATTTGGTTATGTATCTAATGACTTAAAATGGATTTTTGTACCATCTTAAACTAGAAATTTTTCCATCAAGCATGACAGAATACTTTTTCTGAGAAAGAGATTGAAGAATTGACAAGAGTAAAGATTTCAAGAAATTCAAGAAGAGTTGTTAATATTTCTACAAGTTAAGTAGTTTATACTTGAGCTTGACATTGTCAAAGGCTGCATAAACAGCATCATAAAGCCATTCTTATTTGATGTTGCTCAAGTCAGACTTCACGGGTCTCAGTTGTTCTTAATATTTTAGATCTAGAATTTACCTGACCAATTTTAATCTTACATTATTCTTTTTTTTTTTTTTGCACAAAATGGTGAGTCTTTTTAATTCCATGTTGATAAAACAAAGATGAATTGTATGTAAGTTAGTTAGATAAGCAATAACACTTTCTAAATCTTGTTAGATTCTTACTTCTGATTGGATAGTAGAACATCATGTAATCACTATGGAAAGAATTTTTTTTAAACTTGTTATAGAAGTAACACAATGCAGCTATCTTTATTTTAAAGTTTACATTTAATGAAGTGAGTTTAAAATACCAAAATATTTAAAAATGCAACTTAAGGAAAATTCCCTTGTCAAACATGAACCAAATGAAGTCACTGACATCACTGATGTGCAACATAAATGCAATCATTGATCCTAAATCAATAAAACATTTTGTCTATAGCTAATATTTCTGCAAAATAAGTAGCCTAATGTACTGTATACTTTCCATAAGAACATAAAATGAATATAACCAAAATTTCATCTGGATTGGACAAAAGTTGCAGGAGTTATGAGGAATTCACACACATACACACACAATAGCTTTTATATTAGTAATTGTTGTCAAGCTTCTCAAATGCAAAAACTTACTTTATAAAAAAAATTTTAACTTCTAGAAATCTTATGCACTAACACATGAGTTATATGTCCATCATCAAGTGTCAACTAAATAAAAATTTTATTTAGTTTTTCTCAATAAATTTTTTTTGTTTATAGTCAATTTCTGATGATAGATATTTAATCAATACTTTCAGTTTCTAAAAATATTTATTTCAAGAAATCCAATTTGAACTAGATCTTAAACTGTGTTAATATTCTAGAATTTAAAAAAAATATATACTCAGCAGTGAACATGGAAATTCTGTCAAAAAAGAAAATTATATGAAATAACTTTTATAAAAATAGAACCTTATTTTGTAAATATGCATTGGATAAAATTTTTTGAAATTTATCTTTTGAAGATTGTCAATTAGTATGAAAATGTTTAGCAATTAAAAATATTTTAAACAGCAATTAACTTCTTACTACTAAAATTTAATAATTTTTAATTTTTGTATTAATTAGTTTCTCTATTCTTCCAATTATTTGATTCTTTCTCATTAAAAATATAAATGAAGTCATTTAAAAATGACTATTATTAAATAACATGTATATAATACTAATAATTAGTAAATAAATACTTTATGTTTATTTAATTATAATTAACATTAGTTTCTATTATTTGCTTTTTCTGTATTTTCATTCTAAGTCTTGTCTCAAACTGTAGTAGTAGCTATCAGATGCAAATACTATACAATTCCAATTATCCAAACACCAATTAACTGAATGTCCAATTATCCATATCACCATTTAGTTTAAAAATAAAAATCTAAACAGTAATTTTATAAAAGACTAAATGAAAATTTGAATTCCTTTTTACCATTTTAAATTAATGGCTAAAAAGCAGTGTCAATGTTTTTATTTATTTTCTTCTATTGAATAAGAAGATAATTTAAATGTCAATAAAAATTGTAGTTTTATAATTTAAGTTGCAGCATGTAAACCTTTTTTTAATTGATCATTATAAAAAAAAACTCCCTCATCACTATCTAAATACACATCACCACATGCAATCTAAAATAAATAACTTAGGGATGATATTCTTTGAATTATTTACTTTCAATTCAAGAAACATTATTTTAGATTTCTTCTTTGATTATAAATATAACACATATATTTATAATTAAAAAAATGCATTATCTCAATTTATTTTTCATATATAAAAATACTTACTACATCATCTGCAGTAAAATCAATATAGCCAGGCAAAATCAGAAAATCACTGGAAAAAAAAAACAGAATAAACATAAATAAATAAATAAATAAGATGCATTTTGAATCTTATAATAATAATAATAAATTTCTATAACTTGATAGTGCATTTGGAAGAAGTACAAATCAAAATAATTATTTTCTAATTTAATTAAAACTTTAATCTTAATTATTTAATAAATACATTATTTATCATTCATTATGTCATTCTATTGTATTAATAAAGTTTTTTAAAAAAGTTTCAAACAGTTTTAATACAGGTATCCCTTGATTAACGTGGTTAATTAATCCCATGATGCTACAACATAAATATTAAAATCATGTCAATCAAATACAGAGGTACCTCAATACTTGACTGAACAATCACGACACATTGGAACAAATTTTTGGTTAACAACAAATATTTTTATTTTAAATAAAATATAGCAAATTCACTAACACATTTGTTGAGAAAAACATATCTACATTAAATGAATACAGCTGTTAAAGCAGCATTAATTAAAACTTCTACCACATATAAAAAAAAATTGCCACAATTAATTTTGCATGTTAATCAAATCCCGCATTAAACAAAACCATGTTAAAAGATACCTGTATTAGTGATTATTTCCTAATTTTGTATCTAATTTAAATACAGTATATATAATTTTGCAGTTTAAATTTTCTATTTTATGTATTAACTTCGTAGAATATATTAACTCTAAGTTCTGAAAATTTCTTCTTTCTATATACCTGGAGAAAAAATTGTTTTTACTCCTCAGGCTGAGTAAAAATTGTTTTTACTAAGAAATTTGTATAGAAAAACCAATCAAACAAGTTTGGCCAAACTTTGATTTGAACAGATTAAAAATAAAATTGGCTAAAATAGTCTTAAAGAGATACTAAGAGATTTAAAGGGACTTGAAAGGAAGAACAATTGTTATGAAATCAATGTTTTCAAGTCTCAAAAAATGTTTCATCTTGTACTACATAATGATTCCTTTACCCCTTAGGGTAAAGGAATCATTATGTAGTACAAGATGAAACATTTGAACTTAGAACTTTGGATTTAATTTATTTTCTATATCTATGAAGTATGTAAACATTTAAAACCATTAAACTAGCTCTAGTCAGTCTTATGTTCTCTCTTATAAAACTTTTAATGACAAAATCAAGAAACATTGCACTTTTTATTTCCAAAGTATTTTAAAATTAATCACATTATATTGATTCTCAAATTATATATCATGGTTAATAGGATTATGAATTTAGAAAATAATATTATTTACCAATATTATATGATCAATTTTCATCAGTTAAAAATAAATTTAATAGAAAATTTTTTGCATAAAAATTTCAATGATAAATCTTTAATCAAGATATTCAAATTTTTAAATTCATAGTTAGAAATTTTTTGAGAAAAATAATATCTTGATATTAAATTTGTTTTAATAATATTTCAACGAAAGAAATAAAAACTAGCTTTCTTGTTAACTAATAAATATAACTACTGTATTAATGAAACAATCTAATTTTATGAACAAACAACTCTACTAAACCCGATACCTTGTAATACCAAAGCCAACTATTGATTAATACTATAGCCGTTATTAACCCAATAACATACGGCAGTCGTTGGCTTTGGTAATCTAATTTTAATAAATCTTTCTTATTTTGTTGAAATGGTTTTATTTTGTTTCATTATAATTTTATCCAATAAATGATGATAGCTTCCAATGAAGTAAGAATATTTCTCAGATTTTTGAAAAGAATAATTTTATTAAACCATAAATCCATCATATCTCTATAATCTATATGACCTTTATAAGTTAAGGTAACCAACTACTTTTTGAAGATCAATCTGAGAAATTGTTCCCTCTCTAATGTCCAAGTATTTTAGAGAGTCAGTCACATTCATCTTCAGGTGTTTCTCTTTGATTGCAATTCCTGGTTTTCGAACACATGCCTGAGGAATTCTACATTCTATGTCCCTACCATAACTTCCTCAGGCATGTGTTCAGAAACTAAAACTTGGAGTCAAGAAATCATTGAAGATGAATGAAAATATTTGGACATTAGAGAGAGAACAGTTTCTCAGATTGATCTCCAAAAACAATGATCTAAGCTAACTATTTGTAAATCTGAAAATAAAATATTTTTATGTAGGTCTATTCTGGAGATGAAATGTTAAACATCAAAATTTAATCAAAATTATATAAAATCAAACGTTTTGTTAAATATTCATTTTATTGTAGATGTCAATTATTCACTTAATACAATTAACACCTTTTCTCTTCAGCAATTTATTGTTTCAACACTTAATGTTTTCTGACATATTTAATGCTCTTCTTCAGGTAAGCATAAATGGAATCACATAACTGTATGTATGTTCGTTTTTTTGGAATTTGAGTTATGTGATTCTCTTTATGATTGTCTGAAGATGCCCATTAAATACATCTGAAAACATTAGCATTGAAAGTAATGAATTACTGGAGATAAAAGGTATGAAGTGTGCTAATTCAATGAAATCCAGTTAGAATCTATGTGGCAAATTATTCACATACAATTCATCAAAACATGGTTCTACAAAAAATTGATATATATATATTATTTTGTGAGAGACTATATTAGTATTGTGAATATCTTTCAGAATTTGAAGATAAGACAATAAGAACAATGACTTCATTTATTTAAAATGCGAGTAAAAAGTATACTAGATCTACTAATATTAGATAAACTTTTAAAATATTTTCCTATTCATTATTTGAATGAGGAAAATTGTTACTATAACAAAGAATTTTTCAAGGTTTTTAAAAATTTTTTTAAATATNTGTATTTAAATAGAAGAAAAGAAAACTGAGTTTACTCTGTTTTGTGCAGAAACTATAAAATGTTTAGCAATTGATTTTTGTAAAATGTCAATTCTGACTATTAGAATGTTAATGAAAAAACAAATACAGTATAGTATTTTTGTTTTCTTTCCATTTCTTAAAATGGGGAGAAAGAAGAAGAAACAGAAGATAAATTCATTACTTGAAAAACCATATAACATGATGTAAAACTGCATTAAAAAAAATTAGAATTTTTAAACTGAAAAATATTTTCTTGTTTCTTGAAATAAGGTAACATTTTGGCATTAACTCTAAGCCAAATTTTTACAAATTTTTACAAATTTTTAAGGTCAAATTTTTACATTGAAAACAATATAGAACTTAATCATTAATGATTATATTTAATATTTCTAATCAAAGAAACATCAATTTTAAACTAATTGATAAAACATAACATAATTTCTACATTTCTTAAAAACTCTCAAATATAGATCTTTTACTCATCAATTTCTCAGGCATTAATAAGAATGTATATACATTCTTATTAAGAGTTCACATTTAATTTGATGTATTAATGCCTGAGAAATTAATGAGTAAAAGATCTATATATCAGACTAATTACTGCACTTTTAACAGTGGGATTTTTTAGAAGAACACTTAACATTTTTGACCTGGTTAAGTCAATGATGTCAAAAGTGGAGTCCACTTTTGACTTTTGACATCTGAGAATGACCTACACTTTTGCCTTTGATGCCTGAAGATGACCCATTAACTAGAGTCAGAAATGTTAGCATTCTTCTAAAAATCCCACTGTTAAAGGTGCAATAATTAGTCCAACTAAGTTATCACAGTAGCTAGTATATCATCTTCATGAATGTAGATATTTGATTTTCTGCAAATGACAAGAAATTTAAGATTAATATTTTTGCACCTTAGCACAAATCTATATTGCATGACTCCATTTAACAAAATATTAAATAAACAAATACTAGTAATCAATCAAGGAGTCCAGAAAAATTTTATTTGATAAAATGTCTTTCAGGACTCCCATCTTCAGATCAAATCAAACAGATGAAAAAAAAAAAGTGTTATAGAACTACTTTTCAAATTTAAAAACCTATCAATTTGAGTCAATACAACATTTCTGACATAATATCATGAGAAATACCAAATAAATCTGTAGAGACTTATGTACTGCACACTGTATAAATTAAAACAGACTAATCATCAAAAAGGCAAACAAAATTGTTTGTCAATTACATAAAGTTACAAAAGTAACAAATAACAGAAACTATTCTCCTCTTCAAAAGCATGTAAAGAATCAAAAACATCATAGAATGTGTCTTTAACCTTCTTTATACCGATTTTATATCAGAACCCTTCATTTGAAAATGAGTTTGAGTGTACTGCAATCTATGAAAATATTTTTAATATTAATATTTTTTGCTTATGAATTAAAATCATCAAAAACACTAGACACATTATCTGGAAAATTAGATAAAAAATCTAGCAAGGGTAACAAGCTAATGACACAGTTCATTTTATATGAAATAAACTGTCATTGGCTTGTTTACTTAGTATGCCATTTAGATACATCTCAAGTCATAGCATAAAGACTTCAGAATAAGGTCACTGTCATCCCACCTCCAGAAAAAAAGCTGGTTAGCAGAGTAAGAGTTTGAAATGTTAATTATTTGTATTTTTCTTCGGGTAGGTCTTTTTCCTAATCAGATTATAATAAGTTGTAGGTTTTTAAACTTTGTATTTTCTAAATAATTAGCAATTGAGTCTTTGTAATTTTGATTGTAATTTGTAAAACACTAATTATAGAAAGTCTGTTACTGACATCGTTACTTTTAATAAAGACTCTGGTGGAAGATATATACTTGCAATTCATTTTGTATCTGAAGAAAATAAGTAACAAAATAAAACTGGACAATAAACTGGATGTATATAATCAAAAGTCAGCATATAAAATAATCTTGCAAAACATTAAACTCTTTATTCAAAAAACAAAATGTTTTCAATCACTTTTAGTGATTTTTTTGTCAATACAACATATCAGGTTTACATAAATTCTGTTCTTTGTCATTAATAGAACTAGAGAGACACAAAATACCTTATGTACTTTTGCAGCAAATTTCTCTTTAATCAAACTAAATCAATTAATATCAATAAGCAATTTGTAATTAATTTAAAAATCATCAGCTACTCCTTAAGAAAGCCCAACATGTAAAACTTTTGAATTATTTAAAAATTCTTCTGTTTCTTTAGTTCATATCAGTTCTATTTTCAGACTTGCTAAATTCTGAAAATATTTATCATTACATAAATTTCTGACTTTTTTGATATTAAGGTTTTCAATGTTACAGATCATGTTATAAATGTCATAAAATGTTGAATATAAATATGCTAAAATATGTAAAACTTTATATATTCTAAAATATGGAATTCAAATTTCCTCTGCATTCAATACAACTACTGTTCCGTCTTCTGTTGACTTAATTATAGTAATTCTTAAATAAAAAAACAAATTTTAATCTTAATATTAAAATTAATACTAAAACAAGTTTTAGCTACAGTTTTCTAAAATTATAGATTCTCCAGAAAAAAATATCAATTCCTTATAACATTATTTACATTTAAAGACTGTTTTTATCTTACTATCCATATTTTATTTATTCGATTTAGGTTCCTTCCCATTCCTTCTGATAAAGAGATAAAGTCTTTCATCTTAACTAGTATAATTTCATGTATTATGCAATGATGTATTACTTTCTAAATAATTATTATTCTTTCATTTAATCTTTTCTTTGTAAATCTATAGCTTTTCAAACATTCTTTATATTTAAGCACCAAATAAATACACAATTTAGTTATATTTGTAGTAAAGATGACAGTTAAATTTTTTGCATGGAACAATATTTAAAGTTTAATTGTCACTAAAAATATGTTTTCATGTATGTAACTGATAATTTAATTTTAGAAATACTTATTTTCCCAAGGTTAATGAAATTATTCTGTAATAGAAAATTTTTTTTTTAATTAAAAAACATTAAAAAAAATAATCTCAAAAATTTGAGTATTTACTATTAATTTGTAATTTAAAATCATTAATTTCTATATATAACATTTAACTATTTTATAATTGAAAATTTAAATTTAAATAATTAAAATTTCATTTATAATGACTGAAATTAGATTTTATGAATATTTGAAAAAGTTAACATTTACACAAATATCATAGATAATTAATGTTTCACTTTGTTAATGTAGCTAAGAGATTGATGATTTCATCAAACATCTAAACCATTACAAACAAGAGATTATCACTATCTAAATATTATTCAATATAAAGAACTGTTTTTTAATTGAAATTTCAAGTTTACATGATTAATATTTGAAATATCAGTATTAAATAAACATTTATACATTCCAATTTGGATATCAGATTCTCTGATTAAGATTTGATAATTTACAATTACTGCAAATCATTTTCATACAATTTATAGACAGGTTTTATACTATGAATACAATATAGGCAAAATAATATCTACACTGTGTATAATATTAAATCCTTTATTTACCTTAATATTAACAAATATGCATTAATATCTCCTAAATATCTTTCCTATAAAAGGTTTATGTAATTATAAGATGACCCAGAAGGTATTAGTGGCCTGGATAGACCCTTAAGCAAATTACATTATTGGCATGATTGGCACAATTGCTTTAAAGACTCAAGCATATAGGAGAATAAAGTGAATGTGAAAAAGTCTAGTGCCTAATATCAACACCATGGTTTTAAAAAACAAAATTACATTATGTTAAAGTAAAGGGAGAAAAAAAAATGTACAAGAGACACCATTTGTTTGGGCACCAGAGTAGTTTGCTCCTCCCTCTGGACATCTCTCATTTCAGACAAACTAGGTGAAACATTTATAAAACTAAAGGCTATTGATAAAAAAAAATTTAAATCTGCCTATAGAAACAGATTTTATTCAGTATTCACTTATTGCACATTTAAAAAATATTCTGTATATGATCACAGAATATAGCTTACATATTCAATATGAGCATTTTAAATACAGTATCTAATTCAACTTCTCAAACTGGGTTTATATAGTGCTTATTTATAGTCTCTAATCATTACTTAAAATTAACCATGGAAATTACATAGAACAATTATGTATCTTGACAACTGAAATCTTTTTTTTTTTCTTTTTCTTTTAAAACAATTACAAAATCATTCTTCTACAAAAATATATATGATACAAAATATAGGCATAAAAATCATATAACTTACAAAAATCTAATATATGTTCAATATAAGATTACATTGAACCTTATATTTTTATACTAGACCTATTGTTGAAATAAATCTCAAATAAATAAATAAATTTAAAAATCTCTAAAATCCAGCAATATATTTATTTATTTATTTAATAAATGAATGTATTGTTGGGTAGGATTTAAAGTTTTTTGATCTTTTATACATGACTAATCTGTAATTTAAATGTTAAAAATTTTAACATCTAATTAAATTTTAAAAAAATAAATAATTATATGAAAATATTTTAGTTCAACAAATAAAGCAAATAAGCAATACAAAATAATACATTTATTTCTTTTGAAGTAAAATATACATATTTTTATCCATTATTATAACAAAAATTTTGCATTCTTGTTACAAAATAATAATTTTTGAAGACAACTTATTTATTTCTAAGTTGTTTAAATTGACAACCCAATACTAATTTTTTAACATAGAGAAAAATAAGTTTGCTTAAATGTTATCTAATTATTATCAATAAACTAAAGAGATATGTCATAAGTCATAGGGAGAAAAAAATAAACTCAACCTTTTATAAAATGAATTTTAAACATAAATCAAACAAAATTAAGTTGAAAAAATTTTAAAATATAGATTAATTGATATTAATAAATTTATAAAGATGTGTTAATATTCTTTACATCAACAGTGATTCCTAAACTTTTTGATTAACTAGTCAAATTGCACATATGTCATAAGTATGTGGGACACAAATATTTTATATATTCCATGTGTACAAAAAATAGGCCTATTTCTATGATTTATAAGTGATGTGTCAAATATGTATGTGAGCCAGATTAATGTGTGCCTCAGAACAGATTTAGCCCAAAGCAATAGTTTTGGACACCACTACTTTAGATGATTTGTAAGCAATACACATTTAAGCAATATAAAACTGTATTTTCTTATTCATTTTTCTTAATATTCTGACAATATTTAATAATATTACACAAAGTATTTTTAATAAAGCATATTTTGATTCAAAGTCTCCTTTTGCTCATTTTTAAAATGTGAAATGTTACCCTACATTTCTTTGATACTAAATAAAAATGCTTTTATAAAAACAATAAAATATTCTCTGAACAAACATAAAACTGATAATTAAGAATTTTTAAAAAATAAATTAGTGAATATTCAAATGATAATGAATAAATTTAAGAATAAAATATATATATATTTATTATAAAAATGTATCATCATACAGTATATTTTATAAGAAAGTAAAACACTGTTTATAACTAAATTTGCATATGTGTGAATTTATTTAAAAAGTATTAAGATATTTATTATTTGCATATGTGATTGTTTCATTGATCTGCTTATTAAGTGATGATACGGTTATGACGTGTTATTAAACATAATATAGATCAACGTATTATACGAATTTTTCATGAAATACGTATAATATGTTACCTAGATTATAATTAAACGTTATAATTAATATTATCTACGAACAAAATTTGATCTAATAAGTGAGTTAATCATTATATATCAAGGGCAATTTATAGATTACTCCACGTGCGTACGTTTTTGTATTAAATTCATTAAAAAAATTGATATGAATGAACTGATCTTATATGTATACTAAAATTTCTACTTCCTACATTTAACATACTCAAAATATTTCTAAGGATAATAACTCCTACATAATAATTATAAAATTTAACAACTGGGACATTGATCTTAACACTTTAATACACTGAACCTGCATTGGAGAATTTTACGATGGCATCATATAAAATTTTATATACTGTTCATTAAATATGTTTAAAATAAATAATAATCATTTAAATTATTTCGCGAATCGACGTGATTATCATTCAAAAGGAAACATACTTATATGTAAGACCTTCTCCACTGCCAAAAAGCTGAGCACTTGTCAAACCATCTTCGATAATTAGTTCCCGATTACACTGAACATCTGCCATTTTAAAATATGATTTATGAAATTATTATATCGAACAAAATTCTTAACAAAGTCAACACAGAAGCGGTGGATAATCACGTTGAACCTTCTCCTTTTTATATATCAAACTCCACGTGATACTTTTCGCGGGAGTGACGTCAAAGAATCACGTGACAGAAACCGTTGTTACTGGATCACGTGACGAGTATATCTACCAACTTATTCCAGTCGATATTTTATAATAAATTAAATCATTTAAAATATTTTTACAAATAAATAATTCTTTATTGATCTACCAAATTAGATCAGCGCATTAAATAAAACCAAATCAATAAAACAAATATCGTTATTTTATTCATAGTAAAACGTAAGAATATTTTATAAATACAATAAAATCACATATTTTCTTTATTTTTCTTTATTATTCTATATATTAGGAAAAGATCTAGTAACGTAAATTTTATCTAAGTCGATAAATAATATCTATATAGTGAAGCAACATCAATAGATACGGCAGAAATCGGAAGATAAACCGCTCAAAATGCAGCAACATCAATAGATAAAACACCCAAGGTTACAATTTTGAAACGTATAATAACGTCTGAACCGTCTGAATTTTACAGATTATGTCTATTAATTAATAAATAGTTTATATCACAACTTTTTATCTTAGAATTTCACATAAAACTATCTTATTTCATGGCACAACATTTTGCATATTCTTTCTAACAAACAGCTCTTCTTATCACATCCAAAGATGGACAAGAAAACTGAGATATTTATCGCTAATACTTATTATCTCATTTAAAACTTATCTCTCAATTCATTCCATAAATTAATGGTTTAAATTGCAAAATTTCTAAAGGTTTTTTTGCCTTTTTTTATGCTTTGTGGAATTGGATATGGCTCCTATTTGGAAATTATTGCTGTAATTTCATATTATGTAGAAAATTAAGGAGAAAAATTTATATATCAACAGAAAATTCATCAATATCTTAAAATTAAATTCTTAAATTTTTAAAATGATTATTTGGATTTATCTTGAAGATACATTTTTACAAAGAATGCAGAAAATTAATTCGAATGTGTAAGATTTAATGATTTCTAGAATGTGTATATTATAAATTAATGATTAAATTTACATTATTAACAAATTATTCTTATTTTTAATTATTAAAATATATTTTTTCTATTCTTTTTTTAAGATTGACAGTTAATTGACTATAGCATCTTATACTTGTGCCATCCTTACTAACATTGGATCTAATATATTAATAGAATAAACGGTTTAAGTTTGAATCAGATAAAATTATAAATGGCAAACAATTGTTATTTTTAACAGATCATAAAATAAATGTAGTTTAATATTTGAAAAACAATTATTACAAAAGCATCAATAATACGAGCTTAGCCGGATTGAATTGAACGACAAATAAGAATTGTAAAAGAACTTTTCTTTTACATTGTTATATGAAATTATTATATAGTTACTGAGGTTTTCATTAACCATTTTAATTAAATTGTTATCAATTATCGTTCGCAAGATTTCGCCGATGAAAAGTTATTTACTTTATCGCGTAATGTAGAATCTCTAGATGCAAAGGAATAAAGGAAAAAACAAGTTTCCTATCAGTTTATTTTCACAAGTAAGATATGAATTCTATGAGACAGTCAAGGACAAATGATTTATCAAATATATAAGCAAATATGAAATATAAAACTTAGATCTACTTTTAAATAAATATAATTTTAATAAACTTCGGAAATAAATAAGTTTCTTTAATTTCCTTAAAACGTCTTTATTTTTCTATTAAATATACAAATAAATAACATCTAAAACTGTGATCTAATAAGTAATTGTATGGAATTATTAATGTACTTAATTTAAGATTAAAATAGACGTTTTAGTATTAAATTAAGATGTAATTTTAAATATTAATTATGAGAAAGATTAAATATTTATGCAAAAATTTGTTTAAAATGCATTTTAATTATTCGATCAAATTTTTAAGTGCTTTACAGTTTAACATGTTTATAATCACGACAATGATGATATATTATATACAATAAGAATAAGAATATATATGTACAGTAAAAACTGTATAAACAGCAATTATACCGAATATTTTTTCCGGTTTGGCCGATTTTCGTTTTGAACAGGTTTTACTGTAATATATAAAATATATATTTTAAAAATTATTATTAATCTTCACAACCTTAGCTGTTTTAACCTTAGAAAAATCTCTATTTATTAAAACATATCATTTTATTTTTCATAATCAGTAATTTATCAACCTTTATGGTTATGAATATGATTATGAATATGGTTATGAATATGATTATGAAATATGATTATGAATATGGTTTATCTTGATAATTACTTCACAATTATCTCTGATATAAAGTTTTTAAATCTCTATTATTATCTAAAGTTATATCTTCAACATCTAGAACAAAATACATATTATGAAATCGCTAAGATATTAAATTAGTTTTTAACATTACGATAAAGTCGAAATGCAGATTTAACTTGCAACAGATCACTAATACCGTTATCAGAGAATGTTATCAATATAATATATTCCTATGATAAGTAGTATAGTAGGACCGTAGTAAGTCTCTAGGGACTATAAACCGTGACTAATCAGAAGCGAGTATTTGAATAATGTCTTATCCAACAGGCTCAAATATAAATTCGGACTTCAAACCGTGGCACTATATAACCTGGCCAATCAGAAGGGTTAATTTAAATCGTGTGATATGACGCCATACCCAGCAGTAAAGTCACTAGATATAACAGGCCACATGGAGTTATAATAGGGCCTATCTAACTGGGGAGCAGTGCTCCGTTACTACTAGCGGTACACTTGAAGCCGGAATTGGCTTCACTGTAGAACAAACCGCTATATTGTGAGGGGAATAAAGTTTGTTTTGCTTTTGAACTCGACGTTGGTAAAGAGAAGGCAAAGGTAAAGAATAACGCAAAAACGGTAAAGAAAACATTCAGTTAGGTTTATATATCATAGGTAGTACAGCCGCATTTTCTATATGTTTCATTTTGTATTTCGTACTCCCGACTTCTGGGAAAAGCTTTAATCTCACTTTTCTCAATTTGTATTTACAATTTAGTCACTTTCGATTACATTTTTTTTGACGCAGAACAGAGAGTACTACACGATTGTAACAAAACACTGTATAATATTTAAATTTTGTGAATACGTCTTCATAAATTTTGACTTGATTGCACAACAGTAAAATGTACTTATTTGCAATTACTTTATTGACAAAATCATTACATAACTGAATTTTGAATATAATTACTAAAAAATTCAAAGTTAGTATGTGCAGAATTTGCATTTTCTTCTTTTTTTACCTTTAACATATACAGTACTTTGGAAAAACTTTAATTAAAATCACGAAACATCAGTGGTATGCCGTGACATTTGATGATAAGGAAGCTGTGTTTCTATAAGAAGCCGACTTCTAGGGGCAATCAGTTAATTCTTTCTTTAAATGTATTTTTAATAGATTATTTATCTGACGTACTTAATAAATAAACAAGTTCAATATAATTACCTCTGTTATTAGATCCAATATATTCCATATGCCCTCTAAATGCCAATTCTTGCTTCGATAAAAACATATAACATCTATTTATTTAGATATAATATATCTATTAACCGTAACTATCTCGTTATAATTTTCAATATTTATTTTCTATTATTTACTAATGTTAAATTCTATTCCACTTCGATTTCCAAATTGCTTCAAATACGAAAGAATCGACGATTTTTCGTGTCTTTTGCCAGCTAAATTGTCAAAGCCATTCTTATTCCACACACTAATTTCATTTGAAAATAGTAGGCGAGCCAACAAAACAATTTTTGAACTTTTATGCATTTACAGAGCCATTTTATCGTGAAAATGTCGAACAATTTTTTTTATTGAAGTGTTTATATTTAACTTAGGCATTGGTCTTGGTCTTTCTCTTTTAATAATGTTTTCTTTTTCATTATATCAATATGATCTCGAGCCAAAACTTTTTTAAAATAAATTTTCAATATCGCAATAACATTCCGAATCGTTAGCCACGATATAAGGGCTAAAATTAAAAATAAAATTATAAAAACTTGGTGAAATAAAATGTGTGGTGGATATACAATTATACATACCTGGTACAAAATATTTGATTGTATGAATATAATTTTGTGAAGAAACGTACATAAAAATAACATAAAATATTCTTTACTCTTTAAATCTTAACCACTTAGTCAAATAGCTCCCTACGAGTAGAATCAGAGATGGTGAATCCTGCTAGGTGTGCGGTGTGTACATGCACGAGGGCTGCCAAGTCCCGAGGGTGCCGATACCGGTTAATTTCAAATGCCTCTTTTGTCGCATCACTAATATACCTCAAAAGACGCGCCAGGGCTCTTGTAAATTTTAAACGTTTCTCACCATAGCTGTAAAAGTCTAAATATGTTAAATTTAATAGATTGTCCGTCGTTTATATTCTAACTAATTCGTTTTACGACCAGGTGTCGTCCACGGAAATTTCCAAAATTTACAACTTTTCGGTCACTCTCGTTGAACTGAAAAAATTTCTGTCTTTATTACATCTAATATTTCGAAGAGATCAGTCCCCACTGTACTCGGCTATAGATTGGTTCGGTTAAGCTTTTGTTTAATTAAGTAAAATTTCGGTTCTTTCGTCAGGGTTTTGTTTATGTCCTCAATTCCCTAATCGCTTAATTATTTAACTTCTTAAGTAGAAATAAGTCGAAATCAGTTACTTTGTACTCGAATATTTGTAGTCTCGGGAAAAAATGGAAAGACAAATTTTTATGACAAACGGATACATAAATCGTAAATGTAAGGAAAATAAACTCTGGAACTTTTTCTGTACCTCGTGCATATCTCTCATTCATTAAATTCAGTTGTAAATGACGCTGTCGAATTTTTAACATTATACAAGAATTGCACACGTTTTTTTCTACATCCGCTTAGAGGTGGGATATACGAAATCGTAATATCACTGGTTTAACATTGAAATCCGCGAGTAATANTACTCGTGATTCGCGTAATTGGGCGAGGGCGGCCAAATATCTAGCGGGCGGGCGGCAAACAGCCCGGAACCGGTCCTGGATAGAAGTGGATGCGTTATACGTGTAGCAGCCACCCAAGGTTCTAGGTTTCCACCGGCTAAACCGGGTGAGGTTGGTGATCTGTAAAGCGCGTGCGCGAATCTGGCTTTTTGGATGCTGACAATAAAGCGTTTCCACTCCGCTACTCCGCCAGTAATATTCGAATACACAATAGCGATCTTATTTTTTTTCACGCGTAGTATGGAAATTTGTAATAAGATACGTAATGCGGTTATAATAAAATATTGTGCGATTATTTTCATATAATTAAAATTAATATGTATTTATTTGTTAGAAAATACAAGGGAAGCGGCGCATCCACCGCTTCTAATGACGGCACGCCAATGCGAAACATCACCAGCATTAAAATCTAATAATTTTGCTACATTAAAATTACCACGATTTGAACGCTTATTTGATTTTTACATGAAAAAAGATAAAGTTTAAGACATTTTTACTATTCTGGCAGCGACTACAGCGGTTAGGCTAGATATTTACTGATCAAAAATACTTGGTTATTGTAACTCAATTACATAATAAATATCACAATGAACATTATTGATTGAGTGCAATAGATAAATGCGGTTGGACATAGAGACATACAGGCACTGTATGCTATCATGCGGCAGATTTTTGTACAGATTTTGCAAATGCCGCTTGTAGATGGCCAAAAATGGCGCTCGATAGAAGACAAATCTAGAGACCAAAGTGTAGAAACGTGCCTGAGAAACCCTAGCTATATGCGGCCGCGTATTATCTTGATGAAAGATGGCTGTCTGCAGCCCTGCTAAGAAAGTCAAATTGAGGCCTTTCTCAATTTCCAAGAATTTCCTGAACGTAACACTTTGCCGCCAATCCGTATCACTAAGAGTGGCCAATCGTTATACGAGAGGGTTCTCTAAACCAGCACGCCAGTAGTGAGAGAAATGTGCCACCCAACAATGGGTCTAAAGGCGGGATCGAAGCGCTTACCGGGAGTCCTCTGTACTCTTAACACGATGACCGTCCGTTGCCAAACAGAACCTGGATTCGTCGCTAAAGATAAAGACTATGTGCTGCCAGTTCGTAGAAGACCACGTTTCTCTGTCATGGCACTACGTCAAACGAAGCCGATGTTGTTAGGGTGCTGATGGTACGGGAAAAACAGGTTCTGTAGTAAGGCTTCCATCAGTCTCTGGATAGTGGACAAAGACGCCGTCACAGTTGTTCCAGTGGCGTACAAATTAATTGCAATTAATTTGTAATTACTTTTTTGCAAAATATATATTTATATACAGTGTAAAAAGTGTTTTTATTTTGTAATATAAAATTTTCTATAAAGTATTTGTGTCCTGTGTATATTGTTTCTTTTTAGAATAATAATGCAGTAATAAAAATAAAACTTTTCAGAAAACAAAATTTTATTTAAAAATATATGAAATTTTTATTTTAACATTAAACAAAAAATTCTGAATTATTGCATCTTTTTCACAAAACCTTGAACATTTCTGGTATTTACATAGTTGTACAGGCACATCTGAAGTTAAAAAATGAGCATTATCATCATCATGAAATAATGCTATACCTTGTAGTGCAATATTGTGAAGAACTATAATATGCACTGCATTCTGCAAATTATAGTGTAGTCCAACAGAAAAGCATAGTAAATTTTTCATAAACCATATTGTGTTACAACAGGATTTCTGTTTTATTTGTTTGGTGAAATAAAACTGCCAAATTTCGTGTATTTTTCATCTAAAAAATTATGGTCAGTTACAATATTTTCTGCATTACAAACATGTTAGGTTAAGTCAGCCCAAAAACAGGATTTACAATTACTCCATTCATCCCTACAACTTTTATTTAGGAATATTTTATTACTTAACTTTTATGGAGAATTACTTGTTTCAAAAAGTAACTTGTTTTCATTATTATTTGTTTAAATAAAATAAAATTGTTTATAAAATTTAAAAAATAAAAATTTCTTCAAATTGCAACATACATGCTTTATGCACTTACATAGCTATT